ATGCCATTTTCATGGGAGACCCATTCCCACACTTCCGAGGTCATTTCTACTTTCACGAGCAGAGTTTCTGCCATGAAGCAAACTGGCAGGTGCCAGCCTCATCATTAAAGAATTGCAGTACCGTGGTTCCTTTTATACCTCCTTCTCTTCCTCCCCTTGTCAGCCTGACTTCAGGTTCTCAGAGTCCTGCTGCTTTGGTGTGAGTGGAAGATGAGATTGTCGGTCGCTCAGGAAACCAAGACTCCCTGTAAAGATCCCCATCAGTGTGTAACAGACTTCCGTCTTGGGACTTCATTTAAGAAAGTCAGATTGGTGTCTGGCCACTGCTGATGCTCACCAGGCCACTGAGATTTATGGTTGGGCATAGACAATGGGGCGTAGAGTCCACTAAGCCAAGGACTCCCCGGCAGAGTGAGGGGCATTTAAGCCTTCCTGTGACACTACCAGGAGATATTCCCCACCCCAGAGCTTCTCACCATCCTGCTTGGGAAAACAGGCTGTGTGTGTGTGTGTGTGTGTGTGTGTGTACTGGGGTGGTAGATATTTTTCTAGTGGTAAATCCTGCCCGAGAAACCCCCAAACCAAGGAGCCACACAGTTAGCTGGGTTATAGTGGGTTCGAGTCATTTATTTGTAGACGGTACCAGCATGTTTGGTTCTGGGGTCCAATCCCCAAATTCCAGAAAAATAAACTAATGAGAACCGCATGCACTATGAGAAGGCCATGCCGACGTGTCCGTGATCATGTGGCGAGTGGGCAGAGAATATAGACCGGGCACGCTCGGCGGGGCGCAGGGCCTCCCTCCTTGGACAGCTGACAGCAGCTGGCTCTAAGCCCTCACGAGGGACTTGGGGGAGGGCCGAGGCCGGGTCGTGTGGACCCAGTCCCTTATGACCTGGGCCCCTTATTGCTACATTTGCTACTTTGCTACGTTATGGCCCCTGGGCTGTGCCCAGGGGGGCTGCCTTATCAGTGGGTGGTACTAAGGAGTAGACTGCTGGCATCTGCCGTTGCCATGGTTACATGAGCACAGCCCTCTCTTCAGAGGGCCCCGTGGTGAGTTCTCAGGGATTCATTTGGCCACAATTGGAGTGTGCCACACACGGTTCTTGCTACATACTCAGCTCAGCCAGCCCTTTTGGGGGGTGGTGACATGTTACTTTCCCCCCAGGACTTTTCAGCTCCTGGACGTTGGTGGAAGACCTCCCGGGCAGACTCAAAGACCAGCAGCGCTCAGTCTTTTCTGGGCTTTTGGGACAACTTCCTAGTGGTGGCTTTTGAAGCCCATGCACTTGAAGCATCATAAGAGGGTTGCGTTTTAGGAAAAGGATCAACTTCTACAACCAAACGAGGAGCCAGATGGGTGGCAGGCTCCTGGGTCACGCCCTGTTGGTGAGGTAGTTTGAACACAACAGGAACCTCGCTACAGGGAAGGCCCCCAGAGCACGTCCCCATGTGATTCACTGCTCAGAGAAGCAACGTGGAGTGTGAAGAGGCCCCTCCCAGGTGCTGGCCTGTACCCTTGGAAGGGGTGGCCCTGGAGCATAGTGCCTCTGATGGCCCTGGTGGGCTCAGCTTTGCTAAATTCCTGGGGCATAGCAACCCCTTCCCAGCAGGACAGAGCATCCCTTCCTGGAAAAGCAGAAGCCCTCTCCTCTGACCAGACAGCTCCTGCTGCTCTGCTCAGGCCCTCTGGCTGCTGCTGGGCATCTACCCATGCCAATCTACAAGCTTGACTCTTCCCATACAGGCAAAGTCTATGTTAGTCAGCTGCCCAGTGCCTGGCGCCTGTGTGTCTGCCCCGACGGGTGGGTGGTCACTTCTAAGACAGCTCTGATGCTTTGGCTGTGGGGCTGCTGACATGGTATCTGCCCCGTGAGCCCAAATCAGGAAGAGTTCCAGACCCAGAGACCATGCCCAGTCAGGGCAACTAAGGCAAGACAGGGCAAAAAAAAAAGCAAAGTTTGTTTTGCTACAGAATCTCCGGGAGTTGGTGATAGACAGGGAAGCTTGGCATGCTGCAGTCCATGGCGTCACAGAGTCAGACACGATTGAGTGACTGAACTGAACTCCTTCAAAAGTTTAATCTGGGTCTGAATTTTTGGTTCTGTCAACCAAGCCAATGGGGAACTGGCCAAGACCAGATTTTCCAAGTGTGTGTGCTAAGTTGCTTCAGTCGTGTCCGACTCTATGCGACCCTATGGACTATAGCCTTCCAGGCTGTCCATGGGATTTCTCCAGCAAGAATACTGGACTGGGTTGCCAGGTCCTCCTCCAGGGGATCTTCCCAACCCAGGGATTGAACTCATGTCTCTTATGTCTCCTGCACTGGCAGGCAGGTTCTTTACCTGCCTGGCTTCTTTACCTAATGCCACCTGGGAAACTTTTTCTAAGTGTACTTGCATTTAAGGTCTGTATGGTAGACTGTCCTTGGACTAAGTGCCCAGCCTAGGTGAACTAGTTTGGGTAGGCTGCCCTTGGACTAGCCAGCTTGGGTGGCACAATCCTGCTCTCTCTCCCATTTCTGGGTGTGACCTGCTTGGGGGGGTGGGTGGCACGTGATGGTGGTCACAAGACAGAGTGTGCCTTGGTTGGGAGGCAGGATAAGGGGGTTATTGCTCTGGGTTTGAATCCATCCGAAAGTGCCTTCACGTCTATTGGGCCTGCGGGTTGTCCCCGGAGATGTCAGGATGCCTTCAGCCTGCTTCCTCTCAGGGCTGCAGTTCACCTGCCTCTGACCCTTCTGGGGAGCTCTAGGGTAGGCGAAGCCTCAGGAACCTCAGCTGGATGGCACCGACATCCTGGCCAGGGAGACCACCCAGGCCCTGACTACAGCCAGGAGGAAGGACAGGAGGCAGCCGGGATCTTGCCCAGGATAACTAAGGGCACAGAGGGACCTGCTGTTCTAGACCTGCCGGTGTCCACAGACCCTGTGCCTCAGTGTCAGCATGGATGCTGGCACCTTGGCAGGAGCTGCTTCCTTGGGACAATGTTGAGTGCAGGGAAGCCTGAGCAGCAGTTCTGCTCTGAAAGAGGAGATCAGTGTGAAAAGCAAGGGGATTCAGAAGCATGTGATGAAGAGAGGAGGGGGTCAGCAGACCCTGCAACATGGGAAAAGGCTTCAGGGAACTCATTTCCTCATCAAGCAGTTGCCTGGTGTCTGCCAGATGCTAGGTTTTGTGTCCAGGTCTCCTGGAATGAGCAAGGGTTGCAGGGAGTGTCTGCCAGGAACTTGGGTGTATAGCACCCCCTTGGAGACACTCTGAGGATGAAACAGAATGTCTCTAATTTCCACTGTACCTCTAAAAGAGAGCAACTACTGCCATGGGGGAAACCGAGGTGCAGGGCTCAAGAACCCGCTGGGGTGCCACCATGATCACGACCCCTCATGCCCTTGGTGGCCCTGCTGTGAGGGATGGAAGCTGGTGCCCTGGGGACACAGCACAAAGGTGGGCTTGGAAAGGTGGTCCTAAGGGAGCACTCAGGAGGCAGCGCCTGCAAACAAGCTTATGAGACCCACTGGCTGGTGAATCTGCCCACGTAAGTAAAGAAATACCAGTGATCACTGTTTTGCTTCTGTGTTTGCTGTTTATACACTCTTGAAGGATATTTTCTACCTCTGACCAAAATAGATCAAAGGAAGATGGTCATAGCAGTGGGGGGTATGGGGGTGGGGTGGGTGAGTGTCTGAATTCAAAAGCACGTGGCTTATACCGCTCTGTCCGAGGGCTCATGGGAGTCACAGTAATGACAGTGACAACAATGAGAGTAATAGCTACCATTTGCCAAGCACCTACTGTGCACCAGGCACCTGACTCCATGCTCCGCATGACTCCCTCGCCGCCAAGTTGGCAGATGGTCATTCTGACACACACAAGTGGACCTTAGGTAGGTGTTTACAGGTTGAGCTCTGTGCTTGCGTTTCTCCATGATCACGGACATTGTGGAGGACAGTGCCTTTGCTAGGCCATCAGAGGACCAATGGGCCCTGGCCTCCCCCTGGGCACAGGTTTCGGACACAACTGAGACCTGGCCTCGGGGACCCGGCCACGTCCAGGACTGCCAGCCTGAATGCCCCAGCTCCCACGTGGGGCTGTTGGAGGGGAGGATCCCAAGGGCCCCCAAGTTCACCGCCACATTTATTTTAAGTAAGACACGTGGGGACACACCAAGGAGCGAGGGGCCGTAACAGAATAAATTACGAAATAATCAAAATTTTAAAAGACGGTCAGGACCTTCAGGGGTGTTGAATCACAAGCTTTTTCATTGACATCAATGCCTCCTCTGGTGTTGGACCCTCAAGACGGTTGACAGGAGCAGGGGCAGCCTCCAGTGCCTTGTGGCGACCCCTTTGAAAGGTGGCCTCAAAGGGGGTTGGAAGAACGTGAGGTGCTGCGATCCACGAGGTGGCTGATGGTGTGACCGGGGGATGGGGGCGTGGTGTGAGGGCAGCCCGGTCCGGCTCCTTACACGCGGTGGCCGCAGCGATCGGCAGGCGGGAGGCAGTTGGGACACAGTGGTGTGCCTGGGGCGGGCGCCACGGGTGCACCACAGGCGGTGGGTTGTATTTGTAATACTGAATGTGCTTGGGGGCGGCGGGTCCCCTCGAGTTTGCTGGAAGGCGTGATCCCCCAGACAGCGGGGAGGAGTGATGATAGTCAGAATGGAACCTCAGGGGACAGTCACGGCAGGAGCCCCACCGGGCACTCTCCCCAGAACACGTGAGGGACTGGGACCTCCTACAGAGCGAGGCGCCGGCACACGACTGTACAAGGAGAGGGGGTTGTAAACAGGGGCCTCTGCCCGGCCAACCCCAGCCGCCGAGGGCTCTCTCTGGCCTCCCTCTGGTTCACGCACCGCGGTCTCCCCACCGTGGCCTGGCCCTCACTCCTTCTCCTTCACAGTGACCAAATCTCCCCGCAGGGATGCTCTGTCCGCGGACGTGGAGCGCCGCCGGCTGCCCGCGTGGTCCTCGGGCCCGGGCCCTGCGGTGGGGACCGTCAGGAGGACTGCATCAGGCCGGTGAGGCGCTTGCCCGCCAGTGACTTTCCCTGCAGAGACAATGACAGAGGGCACCACACGCACGCACACACGCACGCACACAGGCACGCGCGCGCACAGGACAGACACAGAGAGCCGGATAGGTGGGTTAATTGTTGCATGAGCCGCGGAGGCCAGACCACTCAGCTCACCAACCCCTCTGATCTCTGGGTTTGGGAGACTTAACCGCAGTTGGACAACCAGCGCACGGTGGGGACCAGGTTAGAGGGTGAGGGTGTGCTGTTGGTCCTCTTTTGAGTGTGTGGGGATTTTACTTACCCCAACCAGGAATTTCAACCCTTGGAGTATCTCTTAATGCCTGTGGGTTGCCTCTGAACTTGATTTTATCCAAGTGAGGAAGGAAAGGTTGGCCGGGGGACTAGTAAGACCGAGGGGTTGGGTTGGCCCAAGCAGACGATGGCTAAGGATCTGGGTGACTTGGAACTAATGAGTTAATTAGTCTGAAGAAGACAGAAGGAATTATATTTGAAACACAGGATTGAGCTCTCCTTGGATCCCTTAAAAAAATTTTTTTTTAATTTATTTTTATTTGGCTGTGCTGGGTCTTGGTTGCAGTATGTGGAATCTATTAATAGTCCCCTGACCAGGGATTGAACCTGGGCCCCCTGCATTGGGAGCATGGACTCTTAGCTAACAGACCCCTAGGAAAGTCCCTGATCCTTTTTTAATTTTTTAATCAAAACTTTACTTTTCACTTATTTTGGCTGCACTATGCAGTTTGTAGGATCTTAGTCCCTGACCAGGGATTGAATCCAGCGCCCCCTACAGTGGAAGCACAGAGTCCTAACCCCTGGATCCCCAAGGAATTCCCTCTTCTTGGGTCCTCTTGATGACCAGTTCTGGGACTGGGACAGTCTGGGGGTATCTGCCAAGGCTTGGGGCCTGGGCTACAGGACACAGGACAGTGAGCTCCTGTTTGTCTCCAGGCTGACCTTGATGATTCCACTTCAGGAAGTCTTACCAGCCCTTCACTTACAAACTACATAGCTGTTCTTGTTCTTTTGGGAAGAAAAAAAAAGACTCACTCTACCATGAGTCTTGGTACACGGGGCATAGAGGCCCCCTGAGAAAGGCCAGTTGTTCACATGCCCAGAAGGAGGCAGCTGAGGAGCCTCTGATGTGGGGCTGGACACCAGGAGGATGATGAGCAAGGCTCAGTCCCCTGCTTGTTTCCCAGCCATAGTCTGAACCCAGCCCCTGCTCACCCTCCATTGAAATCCATAGCATTACACAGGGGTCTAGATGACACTATGACTGGACCCAAGCAGATGGATTGCTGTGTCTGAGAAAACACTCAGAACCCATCTTATTATTGACAGTGGGTCAGTGACACCAGCAAGGGTAGCGAGGGTCTGCGAGGATAGCACGCGCTTGCTCGTCAGCATGTGCTGCAGCGTTTGGCAGCGTGAGGTTGCAAGGGCCGACAATTCCTCATGTTCATTTCCAAGTGGGATGTGAGGGCTCATCTTGTTTACTGGGCTTGGCTACATGTCTGCTGGATGTAATTAAAAAAAATTGATCAGGTTTGTGAAGCCTGGTAGGGTACTCAATAAACCTGCTGATTGATGAATTGACCGATAATGGGCATTTCCAACAAACGAACAATACAGGCTGTGAGTTTGCCGGACGCAAGACAATGTGTCATCTGGCTAAGCTCTCCACAGAGGGACGTGCCAGCTTGACTTTGAGAATTCCGATGGCGCGGATGGGAGCTTGTCCAGAAATGGAAACACCCTCAGGCACAGTTGGAGAGTCTGCATCTACCTCCCCTTTGCTCTGTTTTCCCCCCTTTCACTCTTCATTTTTGCTCGTTAGACAGCACTTTTCTTTTGTTTTTCCTCCTCTGTCTTCACACACACACACACACACACACACACACACACACACACACACACACACAAAATCTCCCTATCAGGAACCTTATCTGAATCTTCAGATACACTAAACTTAGCCTGCAGCCGGATACATTTATACTAGGTTAAAGGATTTTTTAAATCAGATTTTTTTTTTAAATCCTAGAGGGTTTCAAGTGCCAGTTCTTGCAAATCACTAAAAGCAGAATGGCTACTCCTCTGTGTGGAGTGGGTTAGGTACAACAATAGCTTATAGGTGGCAAAAGCTGACCTGCAAGGACTCCCTCTAGCCTGGTTCTAAGCACACATGTAGTGGGGACTTTTTTGACTGTCCTTTCTTACACGGAGTTGGAGGCATTTGTCATCCAGGTGGTCACCTGGGACTGTGCCTTCTCCGTGCAGGCCTGAAGGCAGGTGCGTGCATGCCTGCTCAGTCGCTCAGTCATGTCTGACTCTGTGCGACCCCATGGACTGTAGCCTGCCAGGCTCCTCTGGTCATGGGATTTTCCAGGCAAGCATACTGGAGCAGGTTGCTATATTCTCCTCCAGGGGATCTTCCCAACCCAGGGATTGAAACTGTGTCTCCTGCAATGCAGGTGGATTCTTAACTGCTGAGCCATTGGGGAAGCTTCCCTGAAGACAGGAAGCACAGGGAAATAGAGACTGATGAATCCAGAGGTTTCCAGTCTGGGGGCCTCTACCAAACCTCCCCAGTCCCTTTCACCCTTGTCCATCCTTGCTCAGAGGAAACAAAGGTTACTTTCCTCTTGGGTATTGCTTATTGCTGTGGAACCCACACACCAAATACCAGCTCCTCCCTTCTCTCTCCATCCCTCCTCCACCAGAGCCACACATTACATATCGAGTACCCAAATATATATGTTACAGGTCTGCCATACACTGGCCTTCGCGACTCTGATTTAGCTGGTGGTTGTGAACAAAAGGAATCACTAAAGCTTCTGAATTATAACAGTCTGTTGCCAGTGGGTATGGTAAAAGCCCAGAGACAAAGAAGATGAGGTTTACCAGGCATCCAAATCCTCATTACAGCTTCATTCTCATTAGTGAGGTCAGTTTGACTGGAAAGGGGGCTGTGGCTGAGAGAGGTTAGAGATTCTATTTCTGGATGACTGTGTGTCTGTCTGTTTGAGGTGAATTTAGCCCTGAGGATCCCTACCCTCCACACCTCCCTGTTCTATAGAGCTGGCTGGGCTGGAAGGCGCTAATTAATCTCTTCTTGCCCAAGTCCTGGAGCTCAGCCTCACAGCTCTGACTCCAAAGACCTGTGGCCAGCCCATTCATCCCTCCCCTCCCCTCTCCCAGCTGCTTCCACGGCTCGGGGCTTCATGGGTGAGGAGTGGGGTACAGCTGACCAGCCTGGAGAATGTGCCCAACTTCTAGCCATCCAGGTGGTGCTCCTTGGCATTTTTTGCCTCCCTTGCCCGCTCCTGCACTCACGCATTTACCAAATGCCAGTTCTGCTGCTAAAGGAGGTCGTAAGTATTTAGGTCGACCCAGGAGCAGCCCAGCCCAGCCGCAATCAGTTCACTAGGCAGTGACCTCGTGGGTGAGGCTGGAAGGTGGTTACTCATGCAGGATGCAGGCAAGGCTAGATGCCTGCCCTCCGGCTTGGGGGAAAGAAATCCTGCAATCACCCTGGCTCAGCAGCTGCCTTTCTTCTGAAGAGCTGAGGTTCTTGTAATTTTCAGGGATCAAAGTGAAATCTGACAGCAGAGGTGTTCAGAGATGAGCTGCTTCAAGGTCTGTGCTGCTATGGGCTTGCTGGGAGCTCCTAGCTACCTGCTTTCCCCAGAAAGAGAGGAGAGTTCCTGCCCTGCACCATCTAGGGCTCTTTCCTCCCTCCTCTTCACCCCCATCCTCCAGTTTGGATGGGTTGCAGGAGACACTTAGGGAGGGGAGTAGTAATTCTGCCTCTGCCTGGCATCTTGCATAGTTACAGGGGGAAGGTGTTTTTTCAGGGTGTGAATGTATGCTGGTCAGTTGGGAATGGATCATGGTGCCAGGAAACTGCTACCAGCTCAGCCTGAGGCCTTGGCGTAGTTGAGTGAAGCAGCTGAAGGTGGTTGAAAATGCTATTAGCCAGCAGCCTTTGTCCAAGTGAAAAAAATATACGGTGATTAAGAACTGAGCTGCAGAAGGTACATTCCAGAGACACCAAAGCTTTGCATTCAGACAAAGCGCTTTTCACCTTCGAGACATTTGGCTAAGTTTAATCCAATAGAATTTGGGATCCTTCAATTTCATGGACCACGGGCTCAGGGCTGGGATCACAAACACCCACACATTCAATTCCCAGCCTCCACGCTGACTAATCATTTCAGCTTTGCAGCCATCTTGATGGCTAGAAGCCTGGAAGAAGATGGTCATGGAATCCTTTGTTTCTAAAACGAAATGCGCAAAAGGAAGAGCTCCCTTTTGTATGGTGCTTTGGGAAAAATCAACATGCTGCTTGACATGCCGTGGCTCTGTGCATTGCACGTCCCAGTATTAATCAACAAAGCATGCACCATCACCATTACCAAGAGCTTCGCCACTCACTTACCTGGGAGACAGGTGCTAACCTCTTTGACTGGGAGAAGGGCTGTGGTTCAGAGGGTAGCCCTGGGGGGTCAGCTGGCACACTGGGGGCAGAGGAGCCAAGCACTGGCAGCTCAGGGGCAGGACCTTGTGCAGCACTAAGAAAGTGGAGACATCTGAGCTGCTGATGAGATTTTCTTGCTGATTTGTCCAGATGACCTAAGACCACAGTTACAGATCGCAAGTCCACTAAGTCCAAACCCAGGCTACAAGGGGGATGGAAATCAACCATGGTTGTTTCTAGGGCAGAGGGATGTAATTGACTGAAAAGGGGCATGAGGGAACTTTCTAGGGTGATGGGATGTAGGTTACACTAGTACATACATTTGTCAAATTCATTGAACCATACATTTTGGATCTATTGATTTTGCCACACGTAATGATGCTTCAAAAGAAGAAAAAAGATTAAAAATAATCCATCTATCATATCTCTGCTTTGAGACTCCCCACCCCTTCCTCTTTTTCAGTTGCTGTTCCAGCAACCTTGCCTTTTGGCTGAATTCAAAAGGTATAGGGGAAACCCAGATTCGTCTGCTTGA